GAACTTTTGGACTCCAGAGGATTTACTGAACTTTGGGATTGAGTGTGCAGACTCTGACACTTGTAGATGTTAGATGCTCTGAATCAGCACCCCAGCTTGTTCTTGGTCCTCTTTAAATATCTATCTATCTTCATCCTCAAATCTTCAATGCAGAAAAGTTCCAGTTATTGGGCAAACATTAGGTTGATGTTTATTCAGAGTCATCTACATCAAAGTTCAGATGATTGTTCATCTTGACAACCAAGCAACGAACAGAAATAAGCTATGCAGACCTACTATATCTAGATACTGGGAAGATGGCAATGACCCAACATACAGTATGCTTTGCATGCATCTTCAGTTAAAAAGTTGATGAGAAAGACTTTTAAGGCAGAGAGATTAAGATCCAAATTATGCACTATTTCTGAATAAAATTGAGAAAAATCTAGCTGACAAAGCACTGAAAGGAAGAACATGCAGCTAATCAACCAAGTCTCGAGAGAGAGAGAGAGAGAGCAAATGAAAATTTCTAGACATTTCCCTTTGTTCTGTCTGGAGTATCAATTAAAACAAAATTGTATCATGACTGATCATGAGGTATTATCATTTTTTTCTTTTCATTCTGTCCCACTGTTGGTTTAAAGAGGGATTAATAGAATATGTTTTGTAAGAAATTGAAAAAAAAAAGCTGCTTCAGACTAGTTTGGGTACTGAAAAGCTGCCTTTTGAATGGAAAATGAGACTTCTGCCACTTTTAATTTTAAAGATAATCCTAAGTATGAGAATAATTGTTTGGCTGCTATAGTTTAATGCTCGGTTCATTAATACAATTTTTGCATGATAGGTACAAATAAATTTCAAATAAATTGAACGACACCTTATAGCTGTCCTCCCCTCCTGTCCCACAAGAGACAAGTTGAGCCACTTATGGGTGATTCAAAGAGGATCATTCAAAGGGGAATATGCCAGATTTAGGGAATTCAAAGGGAAATGTATCAACTTTGCTACCATTTCTGATTGCTGCCCCTTTGACATGCCCACCTGGCTACTATTCCCATCTGTTTATTATAGACCAGCTTCTCTTACTTGCCACTGCCACTAAATTATCAGTTGCTCACTTATCCATCAATCCTGCAACTAACTCCACTCATTACTTCCTCCAAACTACTATCCTTTTAAAATAACGCCTGTTGTCTTCTGGTTAAGTGGTTGTTGTGGTTGATTTAATTCCATATGACACTGGCACTAAAGGGCTAGTGTAGCAATGGGAACAGAAGACCAGCGAACATAGCTTATGTAATTACACTTGGGTCCAACTCAAGGAAAGCTTTAACGAGCTTCAGTGCCAACCAACT